TTCGCAAACTTGCAAGCATTATAAAGTATTCTTTCTAGTTTGGAACTTCCTTGATGTCTTATCGAGGGTTCACGATGAGCGAGTTGATTACGAGTTAATATAGCTAGCCCTGTAGTTCTCGCTGATCACACGCCGATTTCAAGTCTAGTTTCACCGATAACGTTAGGTAATGTTTTCATAAAAGTACTAATGTCCGATGAGAATCCACTGAAGTTATACGATTTGTAATGCTCGAACTTTGTAAAGGTTCCTGGTCAAATATCTGAAGTTTTCCGATTGATAAGCGTTATAACAATCACAGTTATAGCTTCCGAAGTTTTATAGCCCACTGACTATAGCAAACTAATAATAGATATTCTATCCTTGGCACGTCGTGTTTGTTATATTTGTAGCCGTGTGGAGGCGTTCTAGAAATTTCAGTTTTACGTAACAACACTGAACTACATTTAAACATTTACGTATACACACATATATTGTTGATTTTTACTCTCGATAATCTTCTACAACTTTGGAGAATAGGCTGGAGTTTCGCAATACATATTTAACGGTATCAGCTATGTATGTTTCTAAATATAAATTTAATCTAAACAAACGTTGATATAATAACAAAATCGTTACAGACGCCAAGTACTAAATATTCTGTATCTGCAAAGTTCGAAATGTCAGTCAATTCAGGCCTCTAACTTTATGTGACACATAGTAGTATATTATCTTAGTATATATTTTTAATTGAAAAGCCGCGTTTCCTGTAACATTGGTATGTTTCGTTTTGAGTGAAAAGCTCTCTTCTCTATATCGGCATAAATGTTAATTGTAAAACTTACGGGCCGGGCTGCGGCTCGAGAGCACCAAGGTTCGAGCTGTGATTTGCTGCTGAACATATTCTACGCTTTCATTTATAGCGCGCTTTAACTGTTACATTAAATCCTGTTTCGGTTCAGAGTAACCAAATAAGCGGCGTCTGCTGCTGACTGGTTGCCATCTTTCTAGTCAGCAGTTCTGAAATTGAAATGACTACATTTAATCTTGGGTGGTTTCTGGCCTAGCCTTTTAACTCGTAAGGTGTCTTTTTAAGTTTTAAGTATGAAAAACCAAAATCGATCTTCTATCAACGTCGATGTATTTTTAAATTAAAAACCTTCCTACCTTCAACATTTGCCCACTTTTTAATTACAAGGCTCCTACCTCCTCTTCCCCGCCCCCAGTTGCACAGCGTTATGTCTGCGGACTTACAACGCTAAAAACCGGGTTTCGATACCCGTGGTGGGCAGAGCACAG